CGTCTTTTAGAACATTGATAAATTGTGATATGTAATATTTATGAAAAGTACACATGTTATATCCGCTGATATGTGACTTGTAACCTATAATACATATGTGACCTTCGAAATGTGATTTGCGACCAGTGACTTGTGACTTCAATTGTCCTGTATGTGACTTGTAACATGTAATTTGTTCATGTAACATGTAATATGTGACCTTTAACTTGTGACGTATAATGTGTTTGTGATCGTGACCTATGACATGTGATTTGCAAATTTTACCTTGTAACTTTAGACTAAATCATTCAATGTTTAATCTTGTGAAGTAATTTTCATTAGAAAGAAATTACCTATGAAAAATGTAATATGTTATACTTATATTGTTTGTGACCTATAATTTTATTTTTCTGAGCCTATTCTTTAAATAAAATAAAATAAAATGAATGTGGTCAATATAGTTTGTATGACAATGTTCTTGCATGTTGCTAGTATGAAAAATACGGTGTTATATACTTTTTACATAATACTTGGTTTCAATTGTGGCATGTTATTAATTTGTGTAAATTGTAAATTGTGATATGTAGAATGTAGAGTTTATAAAATGTAACATGTCATATCAACTGACCTATATGTAATACATCAAATTCCAAAATTGCAACTAGTGACCTATAATATATTTGTGACCATAGACCTATGACTTCAATTGACCTATATGTGACATGTAACCTATAATTTGTAATCTTTCACCTTTAACTTGTGACGTGTAATATATTTGTGATGTGTGACTTGTGAACTAAGAATTTTGGCCTGTAACTTCAGACTAAATCATGTAGTGTTTAATCTTGTAATGTATCGATATGAATTTTCATTATGAAGAAATGACAATACAACACAATATGACATAAATTTTCACATACATGAAAATGCTTCACAAGATCAAGATAGTCAAAGCGAAAAAGAATACTGATTACTAAACACGAAATGACTTATGAATAGATCAAACTGATATGTTCAAACACCTACTATACAATGTCAGTTTAATATTCAATCTACCTCTGAATATTGAATACAAGTAAATATTGTTTGAAATGGATTTGATGAAATCATTTTGTAACATTTTTTCTCCTTTCCCTTTTGTCTAATATGTCAATACTTAAACTGCAATGCAGCTATGTCCATTATCACCCTCTTAGCACATTCTTTGTTGCACTCATTGTATTTTTTTCTGGAAACCAAAGATCTTTGTGAATAATGTACTTCCACTCCTACATTTGAATATTAAATAAATAAAAAACATCAATATCAAATAGGAAATGCAATAATAAACAGTCTCAAATATTGGCACAATATTCATGTCACAAACATAGATAAAACTATTTCGAATAACGAGAAGGTCGTAATAGTAGAAATTCTAGATACAAAACAAATGTAGGATGTACTATAAGAAAATCAGTTTTTCATTGAGTTTGATGAAATAAGTTACTTCATCGACTAAATCATTCTTCTTCAGAAGTTTCCTTTTAACATATCTATTTCTATATTGGTTATTCATGTCATAGTCAAACATTATGGCCGTAGAGAACTAGTTCACAGTCTTCAATATCCCACCGAACAATTATGTCACAATAAAAGCAAAGGTCAAGTTACATTGACAAATAAATGAAGAACATTTGATTACTACCACAATTGGAAGAAATGATTATGGTTATTAGTTAAATTAACATTATGAAAATCATAATCACCCAATAAAATTCAAATACAACTTGCCCATGAACTCAAATAAAAAAAAAAACATTGTATTAAAAATTTATGAATTGATGTACCTTCTTCGAACTAGATTTTCCATTAGAACCAATTTTTTTCGGATTTTTTTGAACGAAGTGTAAGAGTTGTGCCCTAGGTCCAATTGACTTTGGACATAAACACTTTTAATATATAGTTAATACATTTTATGACATATTTATTATTTAATTAATTAAAATTCAATTAAATTAAATAATAGAGTCCATAGATTTAAATCTTAATAATTTGTTATTCACAGGAAGTTGTGATTATGAGATACAAATTACACATGATTGAATCTTAAATCATCCGTGATCGTAAGTAATGACGAGATACAGATATCGTTATTGCAGATAGACAATCACGTCTGTTATTTCTTACTTGTAAAGTAAGTAGCAGATCTCACAAGCTAAAGTGTGGTGACACTTGAATGAATACGTGGATGTTTTGTTATAAAACAAAACATTAGAGATCTGCCGAGAGATTCCACATGGATAACTATCCGAGTGTCAATGGTTAACCTCTAACATTCGATAGTAGGATTTGTCCTTTCACTTGAGGTCGTCATAGTGCCTTATACGAGGACAGTCATGCTTTGACACTGTTGGATGTTGCTCTTCCAAGGCCACTAATACGGCATCGTCAAGTATGTCAAGAATCGTATGAAGGTTGTGAATGACGAATAAATGATTGCTCACTCTTAGATAGTAAGAGATTATGATTTGCATTTCATTCAATTAAGTCGATAGTGAAGTCCTTGGCCAAAATGTACTCAAAAGTCGAAAATGAGTTTTCGACTTATATTGACTTAATAGTGGTATGAAAGATATGATCGATAATCGAGATTGATACACTTCCATATCTCGTAATTGATCGGATCATATGACGAATGGATTATAATTTCACGGTAAATGAACAAGTTTGATTTTGTCGTACCACGTGACATTTTTCGTCACATGTATTGTCTTGACACATTGCTAGTGTCAATCTGGGACGGCGAGTGTGAATTAATGATAAATTAAAAGAGTGTTTTAATTTATCAATTTTGATTAGATCAAAATAATATTTCACGTCGTTAGGCATCGTGATCGGGAACCCGATGGGTCGCTCACAAAAGGAGAACTGGAAGATTATAATTTGTCAATTAATTAATTTAATAAATGTTGGATAAATTAATTAATTGAGCTTCTTGCTTATGGGCCAGAATTAATTAATTGGATTAATTAATTCACAGATCGAATTTATTTAAATGGGTTAATTAAATATTGGATCGGGTCAGACCAAGCTCGTTTGGGCTTACATAAATATGACTAGGATTTTCAAAATCTGTAGAAAATTCATTCTTGCTAGCATAAAAAGAAGAAACTTTAATTCTGCAATTTTATTCTTTGTGTGGATCACTGTTGGAGGTTGGACAATTGGATAGCTGTGGATGACGAATCAAGATTGTTGAAACGAAAGAATAGTAAAGAAGTTTGCAGATCTTGTAAAAAGTACGATTTCTATCACAATTTCTATCTAAACACAAAGCAGATTTTTGATGGGAATCGAAATCTGTTTTAATGTTTCACTGTGTCTATTAAGTAGATTCCCAACATGAAGATCTTTCTGTGCTTTGAGTTTTTTTAATCCTCATTTTTCCAGTCTTCTATTCATCCTTCAATGAGATTTTCAGCCTGCACTCTTTGTTAACACCATTTTTGATTTGGATTTGTAATGAGTTAGTGTTCAATAAAACCTTGAACTATAAAATAGGGTATTTGAGAGAATGAATTAGGGAAAATAGAATCAATAATAATACAAACGATGGAGGTTTCAAATATCTAATATCTTGACGATTGTGGAATCTTGAATTGAAGAATGGATTTTGACTTCTTTCTTGCTGGATATGGAAGAAGAATAAATTTTGATAAGTTCTCTCTCCCACTATTCACGTAAAAGATAGTAATTAATTAGTAATTGATTGTTAATATTGTATTTGATATTTGATGTTAAATAATTTAATATATCCTGATTTAAGAAAGATTAAAACTAAAAACTGATTAATGAAATGTAAACTTAAAAAGTCGGGCTAGGTGTAATTTCCTCTTTTTTTTTTTTTTAATTAATTAATTGTAATGTGAGCTAATGAGGTTAGTTGGGCCATTGCAATGTGGACCAAATTTTTTTTTCCCCACAATGGACTGGATTAATGCAAAATTGGTTGTTGGCACTTGGGCTGAAGGATAAAGTTTTGGAGCTTTGGAGCTGGGCACCAAAAACTGGAAATTGAAGAATTGGGCCTAAATGTGATCCCATTAAAACTTTAATTTATTTGTAATTTTGTGTCTAGGTTTTGGGCCATAAAATTTGTTCTCGTTATTTTTCTTATTGCTTTGATTAAATTGTGGATGAATGTCATTATATACCATGTCATTTAGATTGCATATACACCGCTCTAGGTACTATTATGTCATGCATGTAGATAACATTTATTTTTCTTTTCTAAATTAGTTAGATAAGAAAAGTATAAATATTATAATTAACGATTAGGCCATTTTAATTAAATTGGTTAGAAATTGTTAATTGGAAAACCCAAATAGTAAAAAGAAATATTAAGTGGGCGAGGGTTAAATTTTTTTCAACCCATGGCCTTTTCTAATTAGCCCATTAGTAAGAATTGTGTATGCCATATACTAATAATTTTATTTTATTCGTTTCCCTAAAAGAGGGCTGCACTATTTCGGTTACTTGATTGGGCCGATTTACATGATGGATTTTCAATGTGACTTACTTGTGATTGCCCTATAGGTAACGTAATTAATTTTGGGATTGAAAAATCATCAATATAGGGGTCTTACACTTAAATCAAAGATATTATGAGGACTTTCTAAAGAATATCCAAATGATATTATTGATGGCCAAAATTCAAATGACACTAAAATTAATATTGCATGAGATGCTAGAATATATTAAATTTAGTGGGAGGATCCCATCCTAGCCGTAAATCACATTATCTTCTCCCATAGAAAGGTATGTTTAAGATTTTGAGGTTTTAGGTTGTCATCATATTAAGTAGTATTGGGTCTACTTGTGCATTATTCATGCATCATATATGAAAAGATAATTATTATTCGTAAGCTCAATATTAATACTATTATTTTATTTCAGCAAAATGTTGAATCTTACACTGTCATCCATCCTAAGCAAGAACCAACTAGTAGGAGATGATTACATTTGATTGGAAACGTAACTTAATGATTGTTCTCACTGTTGAGAAGCGAAAATTTGTGCTAATCGAACCCTATTCTAATGAGCCGATTGTGGAGTCTACAGCTGAACAGAGGGCTGCATATGAGAAGTGGGTTCAATTTGATGAGATGGCCCACTGCTACATTACGGCTTCCATGTCAAATGTGTTGCAGCAGAAACATCAGAACATGGACACTACAACTCAAATTATGGAAGGTCTTCAGAAAATATTTGGCCACCGAGGTCATCAGGCTCAACGGGCTGCCATTAGGTCTATTATGAACATTCGCATGAAACTAGGGATGCCCGTGAGAGATCATATGCTTGCATTCATCGCTCAATTTAACGTGGCTGAGCTTTTAGGGGTTGAAATCCAATCAAAGACGTAGGTTGACATGGCTTTAGAGACTCTCCCTGAGATGTTCTCACAGTTCAAGGTTAGTTATAACATGAACAAGCTTAATATGTCCCTGACCTAGCTGATGAAGGAGCTCCAAAATGCAGAGGCTGTTCTAAAGACTAAAAGTGGTGAAGCCCATGCTGTTTGTTCTGATCGATCATCTTCTGCCAAGCCGAAAGGCAAAGTAAGCAATAAGAGGAATAAGTCAAACAAGAAGGGCCTATAGGTACAAGCTAAGAAAGCAAAGACGAATGAAAAATCCAAGGAAAAATGCTTTTATTGTGGACAGAAGGGTCATTGGAAGAGGAACTGTCCAGAATACCTAGCTCGCAAAAATCAGGTAATGGTGCGTTATCTTACATTGAGTCCTGTTTAGTGATTGATTTTACAGATACCTGGATAGTAGATTCTGGAGCCACTAATCACATTTGCAATTCCTTGTAGGGGTTTCAGGTAACCAAGGAGCTTAGTGAAGGAGAGTTCACTCTTAGAGGCTAAAGTGGAAAACTGGTGTCTGTTAGAGTCGTAGGATCTATTTTTCTAATTTTTTTTAGCACAATAAACATTTGCATTTAGAAAATTGTTATTTTGTTCCAGACGCTAAATTTAATTTAATTTTCCTGGCTTATTTGTTTGAGTATGGATATTCAGTTATTTTCGCGCGGTTGTGCTAGATATTAAATTGAATAAATCTCTTATTTGTCATGGACAATTGGTTAACAATTAGTATGTTTTAAATTGTGATGTTGGCTCTATAAATAATGTCAATGCTTCTAACAAACGCATGAGATTGTCTCCCACTAATGAAACTTTCTTGTGGCACCTTAGACTTGGTCATATTAACCTCAATAGAATCCAAAGACTGGTAAAAGATCGTCCTTTAAGTGAATTGAAGGTGGAATCTCTTCCAATATGCGAATCTTATTTGGAAGGCAAAATGACCAAGAGATCTTTTACCTCGAAAGGGCATAGGGCCAAAAAAGTTTTGGAATTAGTGCATTCTGATGTATGTGGACCAATTAGTGTCCAAGCTAGAGGTAGGTATGAGTACTTCATCACTTTTACTGATGATTACTCAAGATATGGTTATGTATACTTAATGGCTCACAAGTTTGAAGCCTTTGAAAAGTTCAAGGAATTTAGGACTGAGGTAGAAAAGCAATTAAGTAAAACCATTAAAACACTTCGATGAGATTGAGGTGGGGAGTATCTATCCCATGACTTCAGAACATACTTATCAAAGAATGAAATTCTATTCCAACTAAGTGCACCAAGTGCATCCCAGCAAAATGGTGTCTCGGAAAGGAGAAATATGACATTGTTGAACATAGTCAAATCTATGCTAGGCTTGTCAACTCTCACGACATCCTTTTGGGGATATGCTCTACAAATTACAATATATTTATTGAATATGATTCCATCTAAGTCTGTTCCTAAAACACCCTTGGAGTTGTGGAATAGGAGTACGCCTAATCTAAAACATATTCGAATATGGAGATGTCCAACACATGTGCTAAAGGAAAAGATGGATAAGATAGAATCAAGATTGAAAATATGTATATTTGTAGGGTATCCTAATGAAACGAGAGGATATTTCTTCTATAGTCCTGAGGACAAGAAGGTATTTATGAGTACAAATGCAACCTTCTTAGAGGACAAGTACATAGAAGATCACAAATCCCAGAGAAAGTTTCTTTTGGATGAGATGAGAGGAAACATTCCAAGCTCATCTAGTCCAGAGATTCAGACCGAACCTGCTCAAGAGGAATTCATACCTATTTCACCGATAGTCTCTAGGCATAGTGGGAGACAAATGGAGATCCTACCTACCATACCCGCTGAAGTGCCAAGACAGGAAGTAACGGAGGATGAAGTCCCAACTATTTCATCACCACATGGTAATAATACAGGAGAAGAAGTCATTGGACAATTACAAGTTCCAATCAACCAAGAACCTCAATCGCTTCGACGTAGGGAGAGAATTACTCGGTTACCATCCAGATATTTACTCTATGGAGAGTCTTTCGAGGCAGTCTCTACTGAGCAAGAAGATGATCTGATCTCATTCAAAGAAGCTATGGAGGATACAGACGTTGACCAATGAAGGAGTTCCATGGATTCAGAAATGAAATCCATGTACATCAACTCAGTTTGGGATCTTGTAGATGTGCCAAAAGGGATAAAACCCATAGGATGCAAATTGGTCTACAGGAGGAAAATATAAGTAGATGGAAAGGTGGAGACCTTTAAAGCTAGACTGGTTGCTAAGGGTTTCACCCAACAAGAAGGCATTGATTATGAAAAAACCTTATCCATTGTAGCTCATTTTGATTATGAAGTATGACAAATGGATGTCAAGACTCCATTCCTTAATAGAAATCTTAATGAAAGCAAATATATGATGCAGCCAAAAGGTTTTATCCAAAAAGGTCAAGAGCATAAAGTATGCAAGCTGAAGAAGTCTATTTATAGACTAAAGTAGGCGTCTAGGTCTTGGAACATCAGGTTTGATTAAACAATTAAGCGTATTAAAGACAACAAGGTCATTTTTTTCAAATTGTATGTTGATGACATTTTGCTCGTTGGGAATGACATTGGAGCATTGACATCAGTCAAAAACTAGTTGGAATAACAGTTTGATATGAAGGATTTGAGAGATGCCAATTATGTTCTAGGTATTCAAATCCTTCGAGATATGAAAAACAGGAAGATTGCTCTTTCCCGAGCTTCATATGTAGACAAAATATTGGTCAAGTTTTCTATGCAAAATTCCAAAAGGTTAAATGCCTTTTAGACATGGAATTCACTTTTCAGGGAACATTGCTCTAAAACTCTTGGTTAAGTGAAATACATGAAACAGGCTCCTTATGCCTCAGTTGTAGAAAGTCTCATGTATGCGATGTTATGTACATGACCTGATAATTGTTATGCTGTTGGAATAGTCAATAGATATCAGTTGAACCCGGGACCAGAGCACTGGATCGCTATTAAGCATATACTCAAGTACCTTTGTAGAACTAGAGATTATATGTTGGTTTATTCAGCTCTAGACTTGGTTCCTACGGGTTATACTAATTCTGATTTTCAAGTTGATAGGGACTCTCGCAAGTCCACATCACGATCAGTGTTCACATTGGGTGGCGACGCCGTTATATAGAGGAGTGTCAAGCAATCTTGTATTGCTGACTCCACCATGGAGGCAGAGTATGCCGCAGCTTGTGAAGCAGCCAAGGAAGCAATATGGCTAAGGAAGTTTTTGCTAGACCTTGAGGTAGTTCCTTCAGCATCGCGTCCCATTATTTTGTACTATGATAATAGTGGAGCGATGGCAAATGCAAAAGAACCAAGAAGCCATCAACATGGAAAACACATAGAACGAAAATATCACCTAATTAGGGAAATCATTCACCAAGAAGATGTGACAGTGTTCAAGATAGTATCTGTAGAAAATCTTGCTGATCCCTTTACCAAGAGCTTACCTACTAGGAGCTTTGAGGGACATACTGAAAATATTAATTTATTTAAAATTTCTCATTTACTTTAGGGCTAGTGGGAGAATTGTTAGCTTAATTTTAGTTCTTCAAGTAAATTTATTTGTACTCGTGACATTTTGAAATAAAAATAAAAATTTGTTTTTCCAATAAATTGTTTGTATTAATTTGAGCTTGCATTTTGTCCATGGATCGACTTTATATTATAAATCAAGTGTTTAAGTTGTTAAACACGGAAAGATTTGATTTATAAGTCGATCTAAAGCTTATTGTCCACAATTAGTAAATAAAGATGAACACTTTATTTTGATAAGATTGTCTCAATTTTATTTAAGGTTGATCTTGACTTTAGCAATAAAATTGATTGTACATTTTGGAATTTATTGGACTGGACCACCTTAAATTAATTTATGGAATTGACTATTTAAATTTAATTTCACTTGACTATTGTACGTAGTACCTTACTCCTGAGCGAGTAATGAACTTTGATTATTAACTTGAAGTGTTTTGAGATATCAATGAGTGAGATTAGATTGTTAATTAAAATCTCGATGCCTTGGGAATTTAAGTGAAATAATTGGAGGAAATATATTCACAATATAGAATCCGTAACCTATATAATATGCATGATCATGACCTCAAGAGATTTTCTAATTAACATTTAAATCTAAGCTTAGTAATTTGACATGATTGTTGAATTAATATTGTGATGTGATCACATGGAACTGTCAAATAAAAAATGAGATTGAGGATTTAATGTATATTGGAAAGGGGACATTTTGGTCTTTTCTTCCCTTTCCAAATATTCAATGTGATTAACGGGGGTAATACGTAAGTGCAATTTGTCAGAGGATGTTATTATTGTAGCTTTAGTAATTTCAATTAAATTAAGAGTGCAATCATGTTCTTTTAGTGAAATAGAACTTGATTAATAAATTATTTAGACCAATCAAGAGTTGATCGAGTCAAGATTAATTTATTGGAGCTTGATTTAATTGGGTCCGTTTGGTTCCTTCAGTGGCTTCAAAAAAAAGAATCGGAATAAATTATACGAGTTATAATTTATTATTATTAACTGTAAAAATATATATAAATTAATTAAACCAAAATGTGTCTTGCATGTGCCAAGCATATGACATTTAGATATGGTTACAAAAGAGATTCCTTTTTTGTTGAAGACTTTTATCCAGTCAAAAGATAGAGTTCTTTTGGGATTGAAAGCCTTGTAAATCAAATCCATATATGTAGACACATACATTCTCCTATGGGTTTAATTAATATATGAAAAATAAAAATTCTTGTGCCCACACACAAAGAAAAATCTCTACAATTTTTTGAGTTCTTGAAGAGCACTGAAGAAGGCCAAAAGGTATGAAGGACAATTAAGAAGATCAAACAATGAGGCTTGAAGGTGGAATCAAGGAGATTAAAGATCAAAGATCAAAGTTTTTTTTTTTTTTTTTTTTTTTTTTTTTTTTTTTTTTTTTTTTGTAAAGCATGCTACAAGGGTAACTTCTAAAATACCTATGTGTTATTTATATTCCAAATTATTTAATTCTTGTTTATTCACAATTTAATAAAATCCGTTGCATTTTTCCAACAGAATCTATAAATATCTTCTTCAGGTTTGATTTGGTTACATTAGAAGTATATTGATTTTTCTTCAATAACCGAATGCTTTTGTCTATAGATCTCTCCTATATTTTGGTGTGCCAACCTTGTGGCCACTAGGGAGTCATCAAAGTATGAGTTGAGTTATTTCACGGAATAACACTCGTATATATTGAGCTCATAATGGTACCTCTCCATGATAGCCTAGTCCCTCAGAAAAAGTCAAAGTACTTCTTTCCATTATTCTCCTTCATTGGAAATGGTTCTATTTATGAAAAATAGAAATTCAAAATCGTGAAATTCTAATTTTGATTTTTGGTCGGGTTGGTTTGGAAATGTTTTGGACCCGTATAATTCCAAATATGTCTCAACCCGACCTGACCCTATTTGTGTCGGGATTGTGGGTTGTGGTTTATATGCCTAGCACTACATAAATATCTCGAAAATTTGTCCATATTGTGGCTTGATTCAGGTTGGGTTATAATAAATCGATATGAACATCAAGAGCTTTCCCATAATAAAATCAATTGTTGCTAACACCTGCTTCTCGATTTTGAGCTCAACCAAAAATCGAAACTGACTTGATCGATTTGGAAAATTTCAACCTAAATTGACCCAATTCAATTGTGAAACTGAACCAAACTAAACCATCGGTTTGAACAATTACGTGAGTTAAAAAAATTTACTTATCCATTTTGAGTTAAAATATTTGTTTGCTTATATTATGAATATTTTTCTTGCATAGTACATATTAAAAATATATATAATATAAATGGTAAAGGGTCGATTTCCCGAAATCATTCTGTATATCCAATAATTACGACAAACAATTACATCAAAACGAATAGCAAGACAGTTTAAATTTGGAGTTTACATAAACAATTCTTCTCAATGTTTTTCTTTTATTTTGGAATTTGGAGTTTTGATAGGAAACGTGTAGACGGTAAACTAATTATTTAAGAAAGAATTATATTTATATTTATATTATTTAATTTTTTATGTTTAACAATAGAATTTTAAAAATAAAAAATAAATTAGCAGGTTGGGTCGATTAATTACTTAAATCACAATCAACCCAACCCGACTTTTAATGGTTAAAATTAATCGAATCAAATTGATTTTTTTGTTCAAATCAATCCGACTCAATTTGATTTGGTCAATTTTTTTGAATTTTTCTACCCACCCCTAGGTGTCAATATGTTAAACCATTGCAGTTTTCAAAGACTCCAATGCCTCCAGGATAGGGAGTTCGATAAATTTAAATTTATTGATTTTTTTTTATTTTCATGAAAAACTAACTGAAACATAAGTTATATAAAAGAAGAAATTTAATAGGGAAAATCATGCCAACAACTTTATACTTTTCAAATTCCAAGTATACGATTATTTTTTATTTCCAAAATACTGATTTTTCATTCTACACACATTACACATGCATTCACGCACACAAACGGATACAACACACACACATGCCGGAACCAAGCGAGGTATAAACAGTGGAAGGTGGTAGATGAGCGAAATCGTGATCAGACAAGTCTGGTGGTGGTTGAACAAAATTCAGAAAGAATGAAATAAGAGAGTAGAAAAAGAGCAGCAAGAATACCAAAAAACTAGAAATAAGACTTGTACGTGTTATCATTGTTCTCAAATGATATTTGTACCCTCTAAAATTGATATTGGTGCTTAAGCGATTCAAGGCAAATGATTTGTAGAATTGATCAAGCCTTGAAGAAAAATGCTTAGTACTTGTGTTTTTCTTCTAAAATTGAAAGAATGCTTTGAAGGTTTTTATATGTAAGTAAGAATTGGGAAAACTCTTTCAAAATTGAAATGAATTATGATTTATTGTGTTTAGAAATGGAAAATGATCACCTAACTTTCTATCAATATACCACGAAAAGGTTTCAATCATTCCGAAAAAGTTGAGATTTTTTCATGTAAAGACACTGGAAAATGATCACTTAACTTTCTATCAATATACCACTATTGAAAATATCCAAGATATCCGGATTCCTAGCCATTGTAGTTGATATCTTCGTCTCAATTTTGGGCTTGCTAACCGTAAACCTATTCGTACAAGGTGAAATTTTCATCTCCAGTAGATTTTAGCCGCCCTATAAATAGATTTGATTACTTGCGAGGCCATTGGATTCTTTAATGATCAAGATGATTTCAGAAGAAAATGATTTGAACAAACTTTGAATTGTCAAAAGGATGTACTATTGGAGAATCTCGAGACACCGACTAGATGACCAAGGTCGTTGCGGTGATGGCTTGTTAATACCAGAAAGCATGTTCGAAACTATAGTTTTGCAGCCATTTGAAAAATGATATCAAGTTACAGATGTTGGAAATCAACGCAAATTTTCGATACCATTTTGTCTTGTTTCGTTTAACCATTGAACACTCTCTCCTGTTACACTTTTGGCCTAAAAAATAATTAACAAATTATATTATTGGTTCCCAATTTATTTGCCAAGTTGCAAGTTGGTCCTCTATATTTGAAAAGAGCAAATTAATTATAAAACTTTCATTGTAGTTGCACATACATTATCCAATAACAAAAATATTAAACTCAATGTTAAATAGTCATACAATCTCGCATGTCCAACTTTAGGAACTAAAATTTGCATTCTATTTTTAATTGATGTTTAAAAATTGAGGCGAAATATGTTTTCACGTGTGTCACGTGACGGTTTCGTTATTAAGATTGATTGTGAAACTATAAAAAAAGGTCGTGGATTAACCTATATATACTTAAAAGTTTTGGACTAACTTGGCACGTGACTAAAATTAGCTATGAAAACGTATTTGCTTGGGCTAAGCAAGAAGGCTTTACTTGCAAAATTGGGCTGGGCCTAGTGACCCAAAAATCTACATTGGCTCGGCAATGAATCAAAACCCTATTTGCTCATACGACGTCGTATCAAATGGCGAGGCTAATAAAACACCCAATAACCTTACTAGGGTTTACGAAACGCAGTCGCCTCATCGCCGCTCTCTGACCTCAGCCCGACTTTCCCCTCTCAATGGTGCACTGGCAATTCTGTTCTACGTAAAATTACTTTATATATCGAATTATATATGTATAATCTGTTATTGATTAAAATTTTCCTGCTAATGGTTTATAGGCGCCGAAGAAAGATAAGGCTCCCCCGCCGTCATCCAAGCCGGCGAAGTCTGGCGGTGGAAAGCAGAAGAAGAAGGTCGTTAATTGTTCCTCAATTTCCTCGTACATTGATTGACACAATTTTTTCGCTTATCATCGTGAGTCTAAGAATGTGTTTATGCATGAAAATGCGCAGAAGTGGAGCAAGGGAAAGCAAAAGGAGAAGGTGAACAACATGGTGCTTTTCGACAAGGCTACCTACGACAAGTTGCTTTCCGAGGCGCCGAAATACAAGCTTATCACACCTTCTATCCTCTCCGATCGTCTCAGGGTATTTTCTATTATTATTTATTTATTTATTTTTAGATACGTGTGTAAATGCTATGTTTTTGTTGAAATCGTGGTAAGCATTAGTTTTCAAGGTATTTTATTTTAGAGGAAGTCTTAACATCTGCCGTTTAAATTGAATATCACATCTTTATTTTGTTTCTTAGATGGTGCCAATGATCGAATATTGCTTATGCTAGAATAAGTTACTGATAGTAAGTTAATAGTTGATTGCATATAATTTTGATTATGAATGTGCTAGATGTAATTGAATGTTTTAGATATCTGCACGGGTTCATTTACTATTTTTTAGTTGTATGTCCTATCATGATATCACGTACATGGTTTCAATAAGTGAAATTTGCTTATGCTATGGATTATTATAGGTATCACGGAGTGATGTATAACTTAGTGAATGGACCTTGAAAATTTTAATTTGAAGTTAATGGGTGGGGTGTTCCCCTAGTTGTTATTGTTGAAAAAAAGTCTGGCATTTTTTTTCCGCATAGAATTCACTTGAATTAGGAAAATTTTGCTAAAAGATAGGTATTTTTTTGCTTAAAATTTTACCCCTGTAGCTGATGAAACGCCGTAGGCTTTAGTTCTTTGAAAGGATAGTTCTGAGTTTGCCCACCAATCGATATGGTGTGGTCATTTCAAATGTTTTGCTTTAGGTATCTGGGATATATGTAGGTAATATGTATACCCCATCTAGACATATATCCCTGATAAATAGTGTGTAACTGAAATTCTTCGTGGTATTTGAAACGAAATACTTCATAGTTCACTTTTAGGTTTGAGAACAATGATTGTTATAGAAACAACTACTAACTGCTCCTTAGCATCCTTTGACTTTTTTCTGTTGTGGAATTGGAAATGAATGAATTTAATTTGTTAAGTTTTCTCCTAATTTATGTGTATCTAGTAAAATTTCAAGCTGTTCCCTTACTCCTATTCATTTTGTTTAAATAGGTGAGCTCTGCTCAATCTGCATTGTCTTAAATCGTTGAAAGTCTTGACAATTGTTACCATGTATTGTTTTTGAATTTTTTTCTGTGCTTGTGACAGATCAATGGATCACTTGCAAGGAAGGCAATAAGAGAACTGATGGCTAGAGGTTTGATCAGAATGGTGTCTGCTCACTCAAGCCAACAGATATACACTAGAGCCACTAACACCTAGGTGTTCTGTTTATTTACTGGGAGAGTTCATATGAATTTTTCTATTTGAATCATTGTTCTTTTTCTCGAGGATTTATAAGATATTCGGCCTGATATGGGCACTGCTCTAATGTTTTTTTGGATCATTTTTCTAAATCTGTTTCATCTTTTAAATGTTTTTAAGTTTCTTTTTGCTGGCTGTTGCTTTTCCATTTTAAAGTACGGTTTATTCTAGATGTGGGAATACAATTATCATGAGTAGTATCACTTGATTGTTGAGAGTGGTTGTGGTGCAACTGACGACTTAATCTGTGGATAGATGATGATTAAGTGATTTTTTACTGGCGTATTTATTATGTTTTGAGTATGCCGAAATGGTATATATGGGGTTTGAGTTTTCTTTTAAGGTGGTAATGCTGAGGTGATTTCGCTACTTGTACATAATGAATTACATAATATGACGTGGAGGGAAAATTTTGAATGAAAACAGTTGATTGTGTTTTAAACTCGTAAATGGTAGTGCTGTGTGGCATATTGTAGTACATGATGTAAATCTTGATGGACATGTTGCAAAATCCATTGCTGAGGTGTGAAGATTATGTTATGACCTTAGCACCTTTTTTTTTTTTTTTTTTTTTTAAACTGTATTTCTGGTTTTATAATTCTAAAGCTGTTATGTGTCAGTTCCAGTGATCTAGAAATTCCCAGAGAATCTTGTGATTTTGTTTAATTGTGGTTTCTCAAGTATTGGAGAACTTGATGAGAAATGCAGAATAATGGTTTCTCAACTGAATGATTCGTTTGAAGGGTTGATGTGAATTATGGTAAGTCGAATTTATACTATGTAGTTGCGTGGTATTTGAAGCTGTGTGGTTACAGGAAATGTGAAAAATTTTGAGATATTTTGCCTAACAAGTTGCAAGTAAGGTGGAATTTTTTTATCATAAAAAATGCGAGTGATTTTGTTGAAATAAAGGCTTATAAAGAGAGTCACTGGGCAGGGGTTTTTCTTCTTGTAAATTTTAATCCACATTTTCTTTTAGTTTTGTGAACTACGCTACTGTTGAACACTGGAATTATAAATTGATGATTTTCTAAGGGAGATTCATTTAAAAGGCTTGGTCACACTAAACATTTGTTCAAGAAGACCAAGAACTAAAACTTTTAGTTAAAAGGCTTAAAGTTATTAAATATGGAAAATAGAATTTGTAAAAGACTAAAATATCTATGTATGTGAAATGATGATATTGCCCTTATTTTCATTTTAATTTCCTTTCAACCCTAATCTCCTTCCCTCCTCTATGAACGACTCAATCACGGTAGATGCCTCAATGTTAATTTTCTTATCATCATCTTCATCTCTACTTAATGAAATCACAAAATCTACATTCTCATTCCCTTGAACATTTATTTGGTTGAAGTGAATAATAAAGTCTTGCTATATTTTTATTGGGCATTTGGAGAAGAAGAGAGGGTATGGTAAATTTTTGATATTTGTGCCACTTTTTTCTCCATTGTTTTGGATCATTCGTTCATGTTGTATATGTGTTTGTGGTGTTCATTTTTCAATAATGATTTTGAATTTATTTTATGATTTGATTGGATCTTTAAATGGGTTACTTCCAAATCTTATTTTCATTATCTTTTATTTATATTCCTTAGTATTAATTGAAGTGAAATGTAAAGTGGTGAAGAATGATAACGTGTATTTGATTTTTTCAGTACAGAACGACATTCATATCGTTTTATGAAATTGTGAACGATATAGATATCGTTTTCTGAAATTCATGACAACGTACATATCATTATCAATACTGTATGATGTTTGAAATTTGATGAAATTTATATGTTAAGTTACAGGTTATGGACATTATGGACATGGTATGGATATCGGTTTGTTATCCAATTGAATATGAGCAAATAGTTGAATGTGGATGGAAATGGAAGTATTCTGGAAATTGCAAAGGGAAAACAATACATATTCTTGTTGCAAAAACAATTTCTTACATGGAACTATATGATAAAGTTAAGGAGGCATTGAATATCGATACGAGTTTATACAAAATGAAGATTTCAGCTCGTCTCGATAATGTCTAAAGCTCCAGCTGCACCAATCATAATTGATTGTGACAACAACGTAAAGTGGTTTATATCTGCTTGTACAGAAACTTTTCTTTGTGTAAGTATTTTAAATGAAGTTGTTGAGAATCAGGAAGATTTTGGTGATGAAGGATGTTTATTAGTAATAGATGGTGGAGAACAAATTGGAAATATGAACAACGAGGAGGAACAAGATCGAACAGACAACGATGGCAATGATGACAATGGTGATGGAATATTTGTAGATTGTAATGGTTTTGACGTAAGTGAAGATAGTCCCCGAAGGGTAGATGACGAAGTTAATTCTCCTGTGGCAGATGACAATAATTTTGAGTTACGCACTCATGAACCTTGCAGTAGGGATGTAGTGAATGGTAATGATGTTGAATGTACTCAGATTGTCCCTGAAAGTGTAAGTTCACTCTGTTACGAGACATCAGTAAAAATTTCGGAACGATTAGATGTGCGAGTCAACCAGTTGTTTCCATCGAAATATGACCTAATATCAAAATTACAGTTGCTAGCTGTGAAGTGCCAGTTTGAGTACAAAGTTAAGAAGTCAAATAAGAGCACTTTTACAATTGTTTGTATTGATGAAAATTGCAAGTGGCGCTTATGGGCAACCAAGATCGTAGAAAGTCCAATTTTCAAAGTTTGAAAGTACAATGGTCATCATTCTTGCTCCATGAGTGTTCGTCACAGAGATCATATGCATGCTTCATATATGATTATTGAAAACCACATCACTCCTAAGTATGAAGATGTCAACCGAGTTTACTGACCAAGGGACATTATTAATGACATTCATCGAGAGTTCGGCATAACTGTAAGCTATACTAAAGCGTACATGGCTAAAAATTTTGCTCATGGACTAATTCGTGGGAAACCCCGTGAGAGTTATGCGAAATTGCCAGCGTATTGTCATGTTTTAGAGATGGAAAATCCTGGTACACCGACATTCATTTATACTAATGATGATCGGCGTTTCAAGTACCTTTTTATGGCATTGGGACTAAGTATACATGGGTTCGTAAACTCAATGCGAAAGGTAATTTCTGTAGACGGTGCATTCTTGACATCGAGAATGAAAGGTACTCTACTTGTAGCAACTTCTTAGGATGCAAATTTTCAAATATTTTCACTCGCATGGGGAGTAGTTGATTCGGAGAATGATGAATCCTGGACTTGGTTCTTTCAGAAGTTGCGGTTAATAACAGGTGATACGGATGACCTTGTGATTATATCTGACCGTGCAACGTGCATCAAAAATGGAGTTAGAAATGTGTTTCGATTTGCTCATCATGGTAATTGTACATATCACTTGCAAAAGAACTTGAAGACAAATTTTCCACGGTGTTATGTTACAACTTTGTTTAGGGCAGCATCAGAGGCTTATACTGTAACCGAATTTGAGTCCTACATGACAGCTCTATGCAGTAAAAAGGAGGGCATCAAAGAGTACCTATTAGAAGAAGATTTTCAATGTTGGGTTAGAGCGCATTTTACCAGGATACGTTACAATATCATGACTATAAATAATGCGGAATCTATAAATGGTTTGTTGAAGAGTGCTCGAAAACTTCTCATAGTTGGTTTACTAGAATATATTCGTGGGATACTATAAAGGTGGCTTTATGAAAGACATGTTGAAGCAGAAAAATATGTGATCCAACTCACACCAACATTAGAGAAAAAGATGTGCATGACATATAATGAGTCAAATGGGTTGGAGGTAAATCAGGTTTCTCCAGACATTTATCAAGTTGGTGACAATTTAGAACACCACTTTGTGGATTTTTACGAAATGACATGTACGTGTAGAAGATTTGATTTGGACAAGTTTCCATGTGCGCATGCAATTGTTGCAACAAGATTTAAAGGAGACGAGGGCTATAAATTATGTACTCCCTTTTACACTAGTATTTGTTGGAAGCAAGCTTATTCTAAATTCGTATATCCTTTGCCGAACGAGGTCGAATGGAAAATTCCTAAGAATGTGATAGCCAGAGAAGTATTTTCACCATTAGTACGAAGACAGGGCGGACGACCATCAAAAAAGAGGAAAAGGTCGGCCGGAGAGACGCGTGTGGCTCGTAAGAGCAGCAGGTGCAAGAAAACTGGTCATGTTCGATCCACTTGCACGGGCCAAGCAGCTAGTAGTGAACATTAATGTTGTAACACTATCCTGTTTTGTAACTGTACGACTTCGTACTTATTATATCAACTGAATGAAATCACTTATTAGATTTTGTACTCATTGTGTTATTGAAATATTTTTGTACGGTTGGAATCAAATTTTAATATTTTAGGTATTCATGTTTCTATTTTCTCACATGGAATGCAAACTACGTTCATATCGTTACAGTAGACATGAATGTCATTCCAGTTCAAAAATTGTACGGATTAACATAACGAGATATAAATCATTTCTGAGATACAAAATGACATTTATATTGTTTTACTGTTAAATACATACCGCTTCTCTGATTTTTCGTAACGACTTAGAACTCGTTATGAACATAAATAACGACTTAAAAGTCGTTTCAGTTAAAATTGATACGATTTCTACCTCATTTTATAGACAAAAATCGACATTCATATCGTTTCAATGTTAAATACACACTGCTTCTCTGATTTTGCGTAACGACTTAGAACTCGTTACGAACATAAATAATGACTTAAAAGTCATTTTAGTTAAAATTGATACTAAAACGATTTCTACCTCGTTTCTGGGACACAAAACGATATTCGTATCATTTCAATGTTAAATACACACTGCTCCTCTGATTTTGCGTTAGAACTCGTTATGAACATAAATAACGACTTAAAAGTCGTTTAAGTTAAAATTGATACTAAAAGAATTTCTACCTCGTTTCTGGGACACAAAACGACATTTATATCATTTCAATGTTAAATACACACTGTCTCTCCGCTTTTGAGTAACGACTTAGATATCGTTATAGGCACACATAACGACTTCTGAGTCGCGTCAGTTAAAATTGATACTAAAACGATTTCTAACTCGTTTCTGGGACACAAAACGACATTCATATCGTTTCAATGTTAAATACACACTGCTTATCTGATTTTGAGAAAAGACTTAGATCTCGTTATGACAAAAAATAACGACTTAGAAGTCATTTCAGGTAAAATTAGTACTAAAACGATTTCAAACGCGTTCCTGAGACACAGAACGACATGAATATCGTTTCAATGTTAAATACACACTACTTCTCTGATCATTGTTTCTTCTCGTTCAGAACGACATTGATATTGTTCTAGCGTAATTGTTCCTGAAAGTCGATCCATCTCGTTTCATTATAAACCGGCCGAGTTCGAAATCGTTTACGCTGAAATTATAAGTGCAACGACATCGGTATCGTTTCTTCACAGTTGAAACGACATTAGTATCGTTATACTTAAAAATGACGTTTCGACCATCCACGGTCACCGACATAGGTCCCACCGTACGTATGACGATGAAAACAGGTCATCGAGCTTGCTCAATCTCACTCGAACGACGCTATGGTAACGTTTGTTATTTCATAGTTGTCTTTCACACTCAGATTGTTTCCATAGAAACAGGGCATCTCCGTTGGCTCTTTCGGGCTATTCGAGAGCTACCAGCCCACTTGTTACACTCTTTCGATCGTCATACACATTTCGGAGGTATGTTCAGCAATCAAGGATGGTCGAAACGTCGTTTCTAGGTATAACAATATAAATATCACTATGTTCTTGAAGAAACGACTTTGAGGTCGTTGTAGATATTATATAAACTGAAACGAGTTAGAAGTTGTAAAATTACACAAAGAACGACATACATATCGTTATGTACCAAGTACTGAAATAACGTAACGTTGTCTATCTCGTTTATTTACAAATCTGACGAGTTCGAAGTCGTTTCACCTGGAATAATAAGTACAAAGACATCGGTATCGTTTCTTCACAGTTGAAACGACATTGTATCGTTATACTTAAAAATGGCATTTTGGCCTTCCACGGCTACCGGCATACGTCCCACCGTACGTATGATGATGAAAATAGGTCATCGAGCTGGCTTAATCTTACTCGAACGACACTATAGTAACGTTTGTTATTTCATAGTTGTCTTTCACACTCAGGTTGTTTCGATAGAAACAGGGCATCTTCGTTGGTTCTTTCGGGCCATTCGAGAGCTACCAACCCACTTGTTACGCTCTTTCGATCGTCATACACATTTCGGAGGTATGTGGAGCGATCGAGGAAAGTCGAAACGTCATTTCTAGGTATAACGATATAAATATCGTTATGTTCTTGAAGAAACGATTTTGAGGTCATTGTAGATGTTATATAAACTGAAACGAGTTAGAAGTTGTAAAATTATACAAGGAACGATATAAATATCGTTATGTACCAAGTAGTGAAATAACGTAATGTTGTCCATCTCGTTTCTTTACAAATTTGACGAGTTCGAAATCGTTTCACCAGAAATAATAAGTACAACGACAACGGTATCGTTTCTTCACAGTTGAAACGACATTAATGTCGTTATACCTAAAAACGACATTTCGATCCTCCTTGATCGCTCCATATACCTCCAAAATGTGTATGACGATTGAAAGAGCGTATTAAGAGGGCTGGTAGCTCTCGAATGGCTCGAAAGAACCAACGGAGATGCCTTATTTCTATCGAAACAACCTGAGTGTGAAAGACAACTAAGAAATAACAAACGTTACCATAGCGTCGTTCGAGTGAGATTGAGTCGGCTCGATGACCTGTTTTCATCGTCATACGTACGGTGGGATGTATGCCGTTGGTCATGGATGGCCGAAATGCCATTTTTAAGTATAACGATACTAATGTCGTTTCAACTATGAAGAAACGATACCGATGTCGTTGCACTTATAATTTCAGTTGAAACGATTTCGAACTCGGCCGGTTTATAATGAAAGGAGATGGATCAACTTTCAGGAACAATTACGCTAGAACAATATCAATGTCATTCTGAACGAGAAGAAACGATAATCAGAGAAGCAGTGTGTATTTAATATTGAAACAATATTCATGTCATTCTGTGTCTCAGGAACGCGTTTGAAATCATTTTAGTACTAATTTTACCTGAAACGACTTCTAAGTCGTTATTTTTGGTCATACCAAGATCTAAGTCGTTTCTCAAAATCAAAGAAGCAGTGTGTATTTAATATTGAAATGATATTAATGTCGTTTTGTGTCCCAGAAACGAGTTAGAAATCATTCTAGTATCAATTTTAACTGACGTTACTTAAAAGTCGTTATGTGTGCCTATAACGATATCTAAGTCATTACTCAAAATCGGAGAGGTAGTGTGTATTTAATATTGAAACGAGGTAGAAATCGTTTTAGTATCAATTTTAACTGAAACGACTTTTAAGTCGTTATTTATGTTCATAACGAGTTCTAAGTCGTTACGCAAAATCAGAGAAGCAGTGTGTATTTAACATTGAAACGATATGAATGTCATTTTGTGTTCCAGAAACGAGGTAGAAATCGTGTTAGTATAATTTTAACTGAAACGACTTTTAAATCGTTATTTATGTTCATAACGAGTTCTAAGTTGTTACGTAAAATCAGAGAAGCAGTGTGTATTTAACATTGAAACGGTATGAATGTCGTTTTGTGTCTCGAAAATGATGTAGAAATCATTTTATTATCAATTTTAACTGAAACGATTTTTAAGTCGTTATTTATGTTCATAACGAGTTTTAAGTCGTTACGCAAAATCAGAGCAGTGTGTATTTAACATTGAAATGATATGAATGTCGTTTTGTGTCTCGAAAACGATTTAGAAATCGTTTTAGTTTCAGTTTTAACTGAAACGACTTTTGAATCATTATTTATGTTTATAACGAGTTCTAAGTCGTTACGCAAAATCAGAAAAGCAGTGTGTATTTAACATTGAAACGATATGAATGTCGTTTTGTGTCTCGAAAATGATGTAGAAATTGTTTTAGTTTCAATTTTAACTGAAACGACTTATAAGTCGTTATGTGAGGTTATAACGATTTCTAAATCGTTACTCAAGATCAGAGAAGCAGTGTGTATTTAACGTTGGAACGATATTCATGTCGTTTTGTGTCTTGGGAATGAGGTCGAAATCGTTTTAGTATTAATTCTAACTGAAACGACTCACATAACGACTTCTAAGTCGTTACGCAAAATCAGAGAAGCAGTATGTATTTAACATTGCAACGATATGCATGTCGTTTTTTGTCTCAAGAACGAGTTTTAAATTGTTTTAGTATCAATTTTAACTGAAACGACTTCGGAGTCATTATGTGTGGTCATCACGAGTTCTAAGTCGTTATGCAAATAAGGATAGCAGTGTGCATATTACATTGCAACGATATGACAATGGAAGATAATGTAAAACATGTAGGCTTGTACATGTAAAACTCAACAACCTGATATGGACAATATCTAAACTTTAAAGTTATAGAAGATAATGGAAAATATGTACATTGAAATTGTATTCAAACTCCAAAATAACTGTTACTCTAAAGCCAAAACAACCAAGTGACTACATAATGTTATAAAAATATAAAAAAAATACGAGCAAAGCACAATCTACGGCTCAAAATCCCAAGCCAACAACTCTGTAGCCAGTTTCTTTCTCCTGGTACATAATCTGGTCAAATTGTATTTACGTCCATATTTGCGTGCAAAAATTCTATGAATTTGATAGCGAATATTCCATAATCGGATCTACAAAAAAGTTGTAAAATTTTTGTATTAATTTTCAACACTCAAGATAATATGGTACTACTAATTATGAAATTAGTCATTCTTACCCGTTTACTTGTTGGGAAACATCTTTTACGTTCACAAATTTGAAGTTCTCCGTACTATATTTGCTTTCACTGGCGACATGAGATTTTATTATCAACGGAATAAACACCTGTAGAGGCAAAAGGTAAGCTTCCAACGCTGCCCGACGAATATGACCCTTCACACTATCAAACATTAAAATGGCCCGTTCCTCCATGTCGACTTGAACTGCAAACCAATGGTCGCGGGTCCAACAAGGAAGATACAAATATTTACAGTCCTTCCAAGGTTTACCGAGCTCCGGAATAGCCCCTCTCACATAATTCATTAGACTCTTACTACATTTAAGCTCTTTACTGGACTGTAATTGACCATATGCATTGA